TGATGATGATGATGATGATGATGATGATGATGATGATGATGGATTGGTACGGCATAATACAACTGCTGGCATCATTTCCTCAGAGTTTTTTCCAGCAAAACTCTTGATAACCTTTCAGATGTCAGTACTAGTAAATAAATATTTTGCATGCAAGCAGATGTTGTACTACTGCTGAACTGTAGTCCCTCCCAGCTTATTCTTTTCTGTAAAATATTTCTGGGCTGATCTCCTTGTTGTCCTCTCAGCTACTGCTGTCTCTTCTGAGTGGCCATTCTCCATGCCCCAATTCTTCCATCTCTTTTCACACAGGTTTGCTGTACATGCTACTGAAGCACATGGTTGACCGCTACAATATTTACTATGTCTACATCCCTACCAGGCTGAACCAACGCATCCATTCGGCAGCTGTAAATCAGGTGGTGACAGCACCCATTCTCTGCATGTTTTGGCTGCTCTTCTTCTCCATTCTCCGTCTAGGTAAGTGAAGCTTAATTGGGCCTTCCTTGAACTATATTTGGGTTAGTTAACCTACACCAGCTGTCTCCAGACTTGTGCCCTCCAATTTATGGGACTTCAGTTCTAGCTAAGCTGGTTGGAGAATTATGGGAATTGAAGTCAATTCATTTGGAGGAAGACAAGGTGGGAAAGCCCCTTAAGCCAAGGGTTTGTTCTCTGTTATTTAGGCAGGACTATAATAGCTAAGCTCTTGGGCTTCATGAGACTCTGTATCCAGAGTTATATTTATTGTACTTCTGAGAGTGAAAACTCTCCGTTTTTCTATATGATGGTTTTAAAAGTAAGATGGCAAGTTTACCAGCTATCATTTCATGCATGGTGAAAGTGTAAGGAGGTCATGCCAGATGCGTGCTTAAACATATGCCACAAACTGATTAATTTCTGCACTGAAAAAGATGTTCTCCTACTGTTATGGGAAACTGCACTTGGTACAAGCAATCCCAGAATGAATTAAGGCTACTAATAATTGTATAGCACTTGAGGTTAAAGGGAGTTTCATGTGTATATTTTAGAGCAGAGCTGCATCATTCATTTCTTGTGTTCTTCATGACAAGCTGTAATGGACAGTAGGAATAACCTTGAGGAACAGGAGAAAGAGCCACAGTCAAGGCAATGGTCAGATAAAATAAATCTGAATCCAGGGCAGAAATGTAATTTCAGAAAGGATCTCAGACATGACCCTGCCTAGTTCTCATGAAGATAAAAGGAGGGAGGGGGGAAATGCATTCAGATTTGCAAGATTCTGTTACTATAACCTTAATAATAAAAGTAGTATTAGCTTGCATGTTTTGGTTTCCAAGTTTGGTCTACCTTGGAGGGCTGACATCAGTCTTGCAAGTCCCAATGTGCCCTTCCTCCCATTACACAAGCCTATAAGTCAGTGCTTTCCCAGCTTAGATGTAGGCTCCTTAAATCTGGAAGAGAGGAACATGTGTAAGGCCATGAAGTCATCTCCTGGAAAAGGTTTCTACCAGTATCAGAACACTAAAACTTCCTCAAATGTACATCTGCTCTCCCTGAGGCATAGATTTTTCAGTAGATCTGAACTAAAACTCCTGATTGTCACATACAACCTTCATGGCCTTTAAAGAGTCAGAGCAGCTAGCATAACCCTGAGTTTTCTGCCTTTGACTCAGAACACTGCAAATGATTCACTTCTGGACCAAACCCAACTCTCTGAGGCACAAAAAAGAGCACAGTCAGCGGCATCTGAGATGGTCCAAAACTTAAGCTTCCCATTGTCTTGGGTGGGGCTTGAGGGCTCATAGCAATGAAACTTAGCAAAGTTTGTGCAAGGAACTGGGAAGCATCTACTTTCTACTTCATATTTTTAGTCTCCAAGTCCAAACACAGCAGAGGAGGCAGAAGGGAAGCCAGTGTAAGTATTGGGAGAAAGTGAAAATCCTCAGGAGCATACTGGCTTGTATTTCCACTACTCTACTTCTAATATACAAGTAGTCCTTGTTTAGTGACTGCCTCATTTCGTGACTGTTCACAGTTATGGCAGTGATGAAAAAGTAACTTTACGACCAATCCTCACATTTACAACCTCTGCAGGCCTGTAAAGCAAAGGAAAGCTGAAGTAGATCATAAGCACAGTTGCAGTTTCTCTTAGTGACTGAGTTGCCAACACCAATTGTGGTCACTAAACAAGGACTACTTGTAAATGTTTAGATATGGAGACTCCTGGTAACTCCACAGCATATAGGTGTGGCTTTTGAGTGAGGTCTGCAAGTCTTGCATTTCAGATAGTTTATAAGGAAGTGAGAAAGACAGAAGCACAACTGACCTCTGCTTTTGTAGCTCATTTCACTGAGCAACTAAAATGTTAGTGTGGTGCAGAAGGAAGAATCAGTTCTAAAAATGTGCAATATTCATACCTGGGCATATGAAAGGCAAATTTAAAGTGGTGCATGAATTTGTTGGTGGGTGGGTAAGAACAGAATAAGGGAGTTAACGATCATTCCTTGAAGGTTAGCTTCAAAAGCAGTGATCAGTAGTATGTAGAGAACCCTCGTGATGAGCTTTCTTCCGAAGACAAAAGGCCTCTGAGCTCCCAGCTCCAAGTCTGCCATGAACTGTGGACAGAGAAGGCAGTGAGAATGTATGCGATGTGCCAATCTGTTTCTCTCATCATCAACGCTATAGGCTCTGTTCGCCCCATTACCATCTTCACCTGCGTGGTTCTTCTCTCCTGCATTCCCTTTTCCTTCTTTGGTCTGTGCCTGAAGAAGTTTCATCCAAGGAAACCTTCCAGCTATCAGGTAACAATGTACTCATTTCTCGGATTGTATCCAATGGGACATCTTCATGGATCAGGCTTTTTTCCTCCACACAGTCCCCAAATCTACTCCAGA